TCATGACGATTTTTACGAGAAAATCGAAAATAATGATGATGGCGATGATGGTGATAATGATGGTGATAATGATGATAATGATAGTATTAGCGCTAGCATTGATGACAATAGTGACAAAGCGAATGATAGTCATAATGAATTCATGGAGAAAGAGAAAGAAATTATAGCGTTTGATAAAAGTAATCCAGAATCTGAAGATGAGGAAGCGGGATCAAATGTTAAAACATCTACTTCAACAGGAGCCGCAACTTCTGTTTGTGAAGAAACTATGGGATTAACGACTTCTCCTTTGAGCAATACTAATACTATTAGACCTTTTATTCGGATAATATTGATCGTTAAGCCTATGCGTCAAATACATCAAATTAGCATGCCATATCAATCACGATTATGCATGTTATATCCATTTACATTGTATGACGCATTACAACATGCAACTTTTAACACTTCCTTATATGCTTGTTCTCGTCGAGCAATGCAAATATTACAAGCTAGTCGTACTTATTTTGCTCATGAATTGCTTGGGCGATTGCAAACCATGGAAAATTTTTCAGATGTTAATGAACAAAATATTGAAGATTTCTTTTTTGAACCGGATGAACTTCCTAAAGTTCCTGAAGAAACAAAAAAAATCAAACAATGCCTTGATATCGTTCGTGATGAAATTAGCACTTTAAGACAACAATGGAATTCTGCATCTTGGGTAATGACAGCTATTGAATGGGATCGTCAAAGAACAATGAAATCTTATAATTTTGGTGGTCGATCATTATCACACAATTTTTCTAGAAAATCTTTATTCTCGAATCGTTCTACTTCAATTCGTAGTTCTAATAGAGAAAGTGATAATTCAAGTATGATAAAAGGAAAGGGATCTGATACCGCATCTCAAATTGAAACCCTTCGAGATACTATGTACAATGCACCTGATCGTGCATGGAATAATATTCGCCTTCTAGGAGTTAATCTACCAACGTCCGATGTTAATGATTTTGTATTTGTAAAAAATAAAAATTCTAATAGTAAGCAAAAGAAGCAACCTAATAAGAAAACATCCAAAACTCAGAAGATGGCAGCCAGCAAACCTATTCCACCTATTCTAGCATCATATTTATCAACATTACCGTCCTTCTCTTCGAAAAATCGGTCATCAACATCATCATCTGTTGATAATCAGCAAATTAATCGGTCATCAACATCATCAACTGTTGACAATCAACAAAATAACACGGCCAATACGATACAACAATTAAGAAAGAAATCTACGATAATGAAAACTCTTAGATTAGGTAAACGTAGTCGACAAAATAGTAGCGATGAATTAACAGCAGCCTTCGGTCAGCCAATGAATGCAACTAATAAAGATAATAAACTTTTGGATAAGGATATAAACTCCGAAGGTAAAAAAGGAGAAGCAATAACCATCAACATTTTACCGCCCGTTATACAACCTATAAATACGTCTGGGCCTATTACATTACTTACACCCACCTTTATTGAATCCATGAAAGACCATGAAGATATAAATTCTGAAGTGAATCAAGATGTTAATTATCCTAAAGCTATCGATGATATGATAATTGAATCAATTGATGCTGATGATAATGATATGAAACTTATGAATGATGAACGAAGTCAAGAAGTCGAAGTTTCGGAATATGAAGATATGACGTCTAAATATCCATCTGAAGATGAAGGAATTGAATCTCAAATTGAACAGGAGGATGAAGTTGAACCAATCTGTGATATCGATGATGAAAGAATAGCCTCAGAAATTCATGCGATTGATGAAGAAATCGATACCTTATTAAAGAATGATACATGCGCCGATGACATTGAGAATAGTCCTCTTAACGGCAAAGAAACTACAAGTGTTGACTGTCATGCCACTAACTATAATACTCTTGAAGCCAATGAGATTCCTTCAGTTGTCAAGAAAATTAGCAAGTCTGATGATAAATGTGTATCTTCTGAAGGAGTGGACGATGACAAAGAGAGAAACATTACAGGAGAAACTAATGAAACAAATGCAGATACTGTAGAAATTGATGTGAAAACTGCCACTTCAAATAACCTTGACTTAGTCACAAAGGACAATGTAACAAATGATATTACTGAAACTAATGTTTCTAATTCAGATGATGCTGTACTTGACGCTATGATAGATGCTATTGTTGACGTTAATAATGTGAATACAAAGCATTCCGAATCTTCCGCTGATTTAGAAAAATTATTACCAAATGATTCACTAAATAATTCATCTAATGATTCATCAAATAATTCACCAAATGATTCAAATAATTCGTCAAATGACTCATCACATGATTCATCAAACCAACCGTCGAACACGTTATCAAACTCTAATACTTCAGGAACAGTTACCTCAACTAATGAGACACCATTATCTTTAGCTACTTCTTCAACAGCTCAACCACATCCTCCTCCATCATCATCAACAGCAGATTCCACCCTTGATAATTCTTCACAACCAAATGTGCCTTTAGAATCAGGCTCAACATCTTTTCCACATCCACATGTTGCTCGATCAATTCCTCCCACACCTACGACACCATATTTTCCAGCTACGGAAGGGTCCACAAATTTACCTGAATTTCCACCAGAACCCATATCTGGAATGCCAGAACAATCAACTCCTAATTTCAATCCTCGATCAGATCCTGAATTTGAGCCGATTAACCCATTTTTAATACCACCTATGTCCACATCAACTTATATTTCACCAGCAACACCTTTGCCGTCAACACCTACCACACCACAATATTCTCCGTTATTGCAAGATTCAAGGCCGGTAACACCATTATTAGCAAAGCTTTCATTATTCGAAGAGCTGAGGCAGGCAACATCTCAACCGAATTCGGACAAAAAAACACCATCCATACAAAATCAACCATCTACACCTTCACACGATCAACCATCACTTACTCCACGAGATTCACCGCCAGTTTCTCCATCTTCATTACCGCCTCCTTCATTATCACCACAAATGTTATCAACTCACACATCATATTCTCTATCATCTCAAAGTATTCATTCTAAAGCAAGAACACCAACTCCGTCACTTGTTTTTCCAGCGTCACAAACGTTTTTAACAATACCTCGGAGTCCTACGTTATCACCAACGTCCTCAAACGCTCCTTCAAATCCATCATATAAACAAACGTCAACAGACAACATAACACCAAGATCATCAACTTTAAGGTCACCATCATCATCAACATCATTACGAACAGCAGCGCCTCTGTTACCATCAGCACGCCCGCCACCGCTTCCTCTTCCATCAACATGGCCAAAGCTTAAGAAAACAGTGCGCCCGGAACCTAAGAAGATTGAAGGTGAAACAAATGAATTTTTTAAAAAGAAATCGCAGACACTTCAAAATCTAAAAGTAATGTCTGATGATGGAAGGAACGATAATCATGAACGTAAAGAAGTTAAAATTGGTGAAAAACTAATTGGTAATGATTGTGCATCTTTAAATGGTGAGAGTATAACTAATAAAGATATAATCGCACCTGTTACTAATGATATCGGAGTTATGAACAATTAATATGATTCAAAACAATAACAGTATGAGTAGATTGTCGAATTTGTTTTTTTTTTTTTTTATATATAGATCCTGCAATTATCTGTTTGTATTATTTATTTATTCATTTATTTATTTTTACAATTATGCAAATTATTTATGATATATATACATTTGAATTAATAGAGTTAGTTTAATTAAACTATTATACATATAAAGACTTATTAGATTAATTAGTCTAATAGTTTTTTTAAATTAGATGTTGACTAATATAATAACAACCCTGAGTTAGTTTCATAAGAGCTATCTCAAGATGGAAAAAGTTATTTTACCGGATTATTCGGGGTAAGAAAAATAAGGTTAGGTCCCATTTAATCGGATTGAAAAAATACAATCGGGCTTAATCCATAATATTATATACTATCTTTGTCAAACTAAATTTTAAATATTTATTATCGTTTTTTTGAGTTTAGTGAATAAAAAATTTAAAATTTCTTGGGGTTTTTTTTGAAAACAACCGATGAATCATATATATAAAGCAAAAATGATTTAAAATTTCAAATATTTTTGTACGAAATAATCTAAAAATTAATTTAACTAAATGTGAATAATTTTTATATTTTAAAATCTTAAACTGAATAAATTCCTGGTTTTTAAAACTGCATTTAAAATAATGCTCTGGATATTATTTCGCGCAAATGCGGTATATATTACGAATCAAAGTTCTATATTTTTGTTTTTCTTTCCAAGGATCGGATTAATCAGTAATTTGAAAGTGGCATTTCAAATAGTTTATTCAATATATGTTGTACGTTGGAATGGAATTATTGTGGATTTAGAATCCATCTAGGTTGATTCCGAATAAACATGAACATATGTTGTAATAGAATTCTAAAATGTTTCCGAATTTTTAAAGAATACCAATTCAACTTATAATAAAATTAAGCGGATTCCAAATTATTTTATCGAGTATATTGTTCTGGAATTTAAGTCGCTTTAAGATAATATTTATTCATAACAATAACGCATCAGCAAATTAATTCAATTTATTTAAAAGCATTACATATCGGTATGGTTTTACATTTATAATTACTAGGATGATTATCGTTCCTTCCATCATCAGACATTACTTTTAGATTTTGAAGTGTCTGCGAT